AGATCTCGCTTCAATCTTTAACCGGCTGGGGATCACCAAAAACCATTCGGGTTGAGGTGGAGATCAACAAACGCCGTTTGGTTGCTCTCATCGACAGCGGTGCCACTCATAACTTCATCGCAGAGAAAGAGGCGAATCGACTGGGGTTGAAACTTACACCAACGAAGCCGTTCAACGTCCGCGTCGCCGACGGTCATCCACTTCGTTGCCGTGGAGCATATCGCAAGGTGGCGCTTGAGATAGCCGGCGAGATCTTTATGGCTGATTTTTTTGGCCTTCCGTTATCCGGTCTCGACGTCGTTTTGGGGGTTAGTTGACTGGAGAAACTTGGGCCCACTATCTGTGATTGGAAAGCCCAAACCATGGGTTTTTCCTGGGCCGGAAAACAGATACTAATTCGTGGGCTTAGTGCAAGTGGAATTGACCAAGCCCAACCAGGAGAGTTAGAAAGAGAGGCCCGACAAGGTCAACAAGTTTTTTCTCTTACGGTCCAAAATCTAGACACCGCCGCCTCTCCCATTGCCAATGACATCCGTCAATTACTGGATGAATTTGAGCCGGTCTTCCAACTTCCGACGAAATTGCCACCGGCGAGAGACATCGAGCACCACATCACTCTTAAGGAGGGCTCCGACCCCGTCAATGTCCGCCCTTACCGCTATGCACATTTCCAGAAAGAGGAGATCGAACGACAAGTGCAAGCAATGCTCGATGCCGGCCTGGTACAACCGAGTTCGAGTCCATTTTCCTCACCGGTGCTATTGGTGAAGAAAAAAGACGGATCATGGCGTTTTTGTACGGACTACAGGGCGCTCAATGCGACGACCGTCAAAGATCGTTTTCCAATACCGACGGTGGACGATATGCTCGACGAGCTTAACGGAGCAGTGATCTTTTCGAAGCTGGACCTCACAGCCGGTTACCACCAAGTTCGAGTTCATCCACCAGATGTGCCTAAGACAGCATTTCGAACCCACAATGGCCATTACGAATACTTAGTAATGCCGTTTGGGTTATGCAATGCTCCTTCGACGTTCCAAGCACTCATGAATTTGTTCTTCAGAAGGTACTTACAAAAATTCGTTCTGGTGTTTTTCGACAATATCCTCATTTACAGCCGTTCGAACGAAGAACACATTCAGCATGTCCGCACAGTTCTCGAGATTCTGCAACTCAACGGTCTGTTTGTGAAGATGAAAAAATGCGAATTCGGAAAGCATGAGCTGGAATACCTGGGCCATATAATCTGCAGAGAAGGAGTCAAAGTCGATTAGACCAAGATACAAGCAATGACGGAGTGGCCGGCTCCGACAAACATCACACAGCTCCGCGGATTCTTAGGTCTCACCGGCTACTACCGTAAGTTTGTCCAGAACTATGGTATCATTGCAAAACCTCTCACTAACCTGTTGAGGAAGGGAAGGTTTGAATGGACAGCTGAGGTAGCCGAGGCTTTCGAAACTCTCAAAACCGTGATGACCACCACACCAACACTCGCTCTCCCTGATTTCACCAAGCCTTTCATCATACAGACAGACGCATCTGGTGAAGGAATTGGGGCGATCCTCACACAGGAAGGCAGACCTCTCGCTTACATGAGTCGATCGCTGGGAGTGGCAAAACGCAGCTGGTCCACTTATGGACGTGAGATGCTTGCCATAGTGGTGGCAGTGAGGACATGGCGCCCTTACCTCCTTGGTGGAAAGTTCACAATCCAAACTGATCAAAAGAGTCTCCGTTTCCTCCTCGAGCAACGAATCCTCACGCCAGAACAACAAAAGTGGATGGGAAAGCTAGTGGGATACGATTATGAGATCACCTACAAACCCGGCACAGCGAATCTTGCAGCAGACGCTCTCTCTCGGCGTGAGAATAGCCCCTGTCTCCTCACCATCTCTAGCCAACACGCCGACCTCTGGAACGATTTGCGACAGGCTCAATCTGTGGACCCGTATCTGTTACGAGTAGGCAAGCTCGCTGATGAAGCACCAGGACAACCCTACGGCCGCATCAATGATCTGGTATGTTTCAAAAATCGAGTGGTTATTCCGCCTAACTCTGTGTTCATCAAAACATTGCTTGCCGAATACCACGACACACCATCTGGAGGCCATTCAGGGGTGCTGCGAACCTTCAAGAGAATCGCTCAACTCTTCTATGGGCCAGCGATGCACCGCACGGTTCAAGAGTATGTAGCCGCCTGTGATGTTTGTCAACGTGCCAAGTCGTCTAGCCTCTCACCAGCAGGCCTCCTTCAGCCGTTACCGATCCCTAACCAGGTGTGGGAGGACTTGTCGATGGACTTCGTCGACGGACTGCCGCGATCCAACGGCCACACCTCCATCATGGTTGTGGTCGACTGCCTGACAAAGGCTGCTCATCTGGTACCGATATCTCACCCTTACACTGCAAAGTCTATTGCTGCAAAATTTGTTGAGTTTGTGGTGAAGTTACACGGAATACCAAAGACGATTGTGAGCGACAGGGATCATGTCTTTGTCAGCGCCTTCTGGCGGGACCTCTGGAAACTCTCAGGTACAAAGCTGTGCATGTCTTCAGCCTATCACCCACAAAGCGATGGTCAGACCGAGGTAATCAACCGATGCATCGAACAATTTCTTCAATGCTTTGTCCATGACAAGCCAAAGGAATGGAGCTACATGCTACCGTGGGCAGAATTTTGGTACAACACCACCTATCATTCTTCTATTGGCATGCCACCGTTCAAAGCAGTCTACGGCATGGATCCTCCACTCGTACCCGGTTACAGCAACAACACCACCCCAATTCTGGAATTGGATGAACAGTTGGTGGAACGGGACGCGCTCCTCAACGATCTCAAGACACACCTTCAAGCCTTAGTCAACAGAATGAAGCAAATGGCTGACGCCAAGCGTAGAGATGTCGAGTTCAACGTCGTCGGCGACTTGGTTTTCCTTCGTCTCCAGCCATACCGTCAGCACACCATCTTCAAAAGGACGTCTCAAAAGCTCTCGACAAAGTACTATGGTCTTTTCCAGATCGAAGCCCGTGTTGGTCCGGTTGCATATCGTCTCAAACTTCCGGAAGGTACCAAGGTTCACTCTATTTTTCACGTTTCTCTGCTTAAGGAACGTGCGAGAACAGACACACCAACGTCGGGATCTCTTCCACCACTCCGTACCTCCCGCGTCCTGAAGCTGAACCCCGAAAAGGTGATAGACATCCGTCAGATAGCAAAAGATGGGACACTTTGCAAAGAGGCATTGGTTGTGTGGCAAGGGTTACCTGACGAAGACGCTACTTGGGAGGACATTAGTCAACTACAACAGAGCTTTCCTACGTTGAATCTTGAGGACAAGCTTCATCTTGGGGAGGCGAGTAATGATGGACCTCAACCGGCTAGAAGGACTCAACCGGCTAGAAGGACATCAGACCGGCAAAGGATCCCAAACCGGAAATACATCTATTGATCGGTTTGCGATCTCTGTTCTTTTACTTTTGTTGCAATTTGAGTTTCAGTTAAATAATGGAAAAGGCTTGGTCTTCCTCTTGTTGCGGAAACCACCTTTACCACTTTCCCATTTCCCAGTTGTAGGAGTTACGACTCCACGTTTGCTTCCTTGTATTTCTATTTAACTAAATGAAAAAGCCAAAAAGAGGCAATCTTAATTGTCCAAAACAGAGTGTGTATTGTTCTTGTGTTCTGATTACGAGTCCAAATTCTGAGATCTATCAACATGAAGCCAATTCAATTGTGATCTTAGTTCTTAGCCCTGATTTTTCTTTTCTTTTGTTTCTTTTGGTATAAGAATGGTGATTGAATTCTATATTAATTATGTTTGATTTTGTTATTTTATTTGAGTTGTGTAGATCGAGATTTGTTTTGTTATCTTGATGGATTAATTAATAAAAATCTCAATAAGTTTTGATTGTAATCCTCTTGTTAAGATTTTAATATATATAAACGATTAAGCAAAAATAATAATTCATGAAAATATAATGATGAAAATTGTTTAAACAAATAATTTTCTTATGAATAATTTTTTTTACAAAATACGCTATGAAAATTGATATTACCTTTAACATCAATAAATAATTGATAAAATATTTAACATCATTTATGATAACTAATAAAAAAATTTAGCATCAATATTTGAAATTGATACATATATACATCAATTATAATAATTGATGCAAATATTTTGCATATTTACATCAATTCTAAATAAACCGATACTAATTATTTGCATCACAGCAATTACAATCATTTTTATAAGTAATGTAAATTGTTTTAACATCATTTTTAACATAGAGGTCTACTGTTTCTGTTTTCAAGTTTAATGTAATCTTCTCGTGAATTGTATGAGAGCGAGATCTATCACTATGTTTTATGTTATTCATTTTGTCTGATATTGATGTCCATGTTAGTAAACATGCAAGAATTTGAATTTATCCGAAAACAGTTATATTATATATTAGCTGGGTTACATTGAAGTTAGTTATATTTACACCAAAAAATAATTAGAGCGTCGAGTTTAGGTACACAGCAAAATATGGTACCATGAGCGCTTTCCCAAAAACACCCAGACCTAAAACTGATATATACCGATCTACCTAGATAGCTATATGTCATTGTCCAGATCCTCCCAGTTACGCTCTGGAGGTCCGCGACAGTTGATCTCTGATATAGGTCCGCTGCAAGCTTTGCTCTTATAGCTTTCATGTTCTTACCACAAAGCGTCTTCGGAAAAAGCCTCCCAAGACTATGATACTCGATGAACTTTAGACAGTAGACTCCACAGTCACTTGCATTGTCTTGCGCAGGCACATCTCCTCCGGAAATATACTCGTGGGTGTAACGGTCGAGTGAATACTTATACCTATCATTATGTCAGCCATGAGCCGTTGTAGATAAGGCACAATGACAGCAACGGGCTCGATAGCTTTGGCTAACACATCTCCTAGATATCCTGGAATGCTGTCCCACACAGTAATATGCCTTTTAGGTATAGAAATCATCAAGCCACCCAATGAGTGTCTTTGACGTTCCATGGCAAGTAGATCTCATCAATATCTACTTCCCATTTCTTCAAGGTTTGGCAGAAACGTGGTGTTTCCCTTCGAAGAAGTCGGTCGCACCTCCCGGGACCCACCTTCCTAGTCCCTGTTATCCGGCTTTGTACTTCAAAAACCTCTTCCAACTTGTCTTTTTGTCCACAACATACTAGGAGTACTATCACCAAAGCAAATTCGATCACTCCTAAACCACTCGGGTGCAACTTCATGCGCTGACGAAACATGTTCATTACTGCGTCCATGTGCTGAAAAAGATACGAAATACTTAGACAGTATAAGAAAAACTGAAACATAAATGGTCTACCATATGGTCTACCAAAATGGTCTACCATGGTCTACCATAATGGTCTACCAAAAGGTCTTACTATCAGCGAGCCATTCCGTCTGCGTGACCAATTCCTGCCACCAGTTAGTGGAGGTGGAGTTTGAACTTCAAATCGGGCCGCTGGATAGAAAACATAAAAATCACAATTGGTAATCAAACAAGCTATAGTCATATAACCAAGGAAGTTTAAGAAAATACTTACAAAATGCCTTTAAACTCTTTCTTCAGCCGTGCAAGTCTGTCCTTATCCACAGGCTCGTTGGGATCATATCCATATCCAAGCCGTGGCTTGTTAGGAATGATTCCCTTCACTGTGCTATCTCCTATAAACGGAGACCTTGTGATGCGGCCAGCTGTCGCTGTCTCTGTACGTTTGCACGTGCAATATCTATTGTTGCTTGTTGTTTTAATGCCATCCTCTGTGCCTCTTCCACTTCCTCAGCTTTTGTTGGTGTATACTCCTTACGAAAACCAGGTCCGGATCTACGCCATTGTCACTACCGCATGGAGATAAAACTTGTTGTTTCTGCAAATGACAATGAACGACGCTTGCATCAAAATATTTTACTTGTAGCAAACAGATATACATATAAAACAGATATGTTCATTGTTTTCAGTAAAAAGATTCACACAATACAGAAACAACATAAAAAACAAGTAGACAAACTACAAGTACTTGGGGTTCTGCTTCCTATTTCGAAGGATCCTAGTAGGTTCGAAGGACCATAGTAGAGAGGGTTTTTACTAACCCGAGCTGGAGCTTTTCTCTGCTTAGGAGTGGCAGCCTTCTCGGTGGAGTTTATCGCCAACCTTCTCCTCGGATGCAGCCTCCTCCTCCTCTTCACCTGACACTCATCCTTCAGTTGAGGCGTCTGAAACGGTTCCGAGGTTTGTCCTTCTTGGGAGTGGCAGCCTTCTCCTCGGCTCTAGCATCCATCTTCACCAGACGGCTCGTTCTTCTCATTCTTCTCAGGTTCCCAGTTCTGTTTGGACGCCTTGATGCTGCTTCCTGGGTTTTTTCTATGCGGACCACCTTCCTAGTTAGGATCGTGAACTTTGAATCAGACTGTTCAAAGCCCAACTTCATCCCGCAGACAACTTACTGAAGCCATCTTCAAACATCAACTTCAGCTTCTCCTCGAAGCGACTGAAGCCATCTTCAGCAAGGGAAACGCTCTCAGGACACTGCCTCTTCTGCATTTCATCTCCAGGGTCTGAGGATCTTTTCCTCTTCGCAACTCCGGGGGTTTAGGATTCTTCACCAGAACACCTTGAGGATTCCAGTCCGCCGGCTTCCACCTCCACCGGCCCAGGTCTCCATACAGCGCGTTGATGAGATTATCTACGCGCGGGTCTTCCTTATCCTCATCCCACTTTGGGTAAACGAAGTCTCTCTCCACCATTATGCAGTGATCAAAGTTCACCTACAAACGAAGGGAAAGTAAATAATAGGTCTACCATAATGGTCTACCATAATGGTCTACCAAAATGGTCTACTATGGTATAAAAATGGTTTGTAAACGAAGTAGTATGTACCTGCTTCAGTATCGTGAGTTCAATGTTTCCTTAGACCCTGGACTCCTTTGTAGGACAAGAGCGGAATGTCAGGAGCGTTTCGTATGGGCGCACCACAACCCGCTCCGAATTCAGGCATGAAACGATATGCCCATACTTGTAGAGCCTCAACAAACCCATCCAGGACATACCCGGACTTCCATAGCTCTGCTTCTTTGACGGCTTCGATCAGGTTCTTGAAAGCTACACGCCCCCACGGATAATTCTCAAACTCCTCTTCATCCATCACTAATCTGGCCAGGTTGACAGGAGTGTGCGAGGTGTTTTTCCGAGCAGCAATGAAGCCAGTGTAGATGGCCAAGTAACCAAGCCTAAGTTTGTCCTCACTCGGCCAGTCTGTTGCCCATTCGCATGCACGAATGATCTCCACTTGACTCGGACCAAGCTCAACACCTACTCCGAGCTTCTCCCAGAATGCTCTCATCTCTAGAGTAACCTTGCACTTGGGGTCATCAATATCTTCCACATAGTCGCAGTTGAGGCCGGTGAGATGCTCAAACTCATGGAGGGAAAATCTAATTGGGCTATCCGCAACCGCAACCCAGATCTCATACTTCTTCTTGCACTCTAACTGATATGAGAGCATCGTGTGGACCAACTTCGAAGACCACTCGAAGTCGAGGTCGTGAAACTTGCAGAAGACACCAACTCGCGAGTCGCATAGTGTTTCCCACTCGGCATCACTCAGTAGTTTTTTCACGGCAGCAAATAGCTTTTTGTCGTTGCTGCCGTAGGAGATGCTCTTTTGGGCTTCCGGTTCAGCTCCTCTTGTGTATAACCTCCTTGGAAAGGTAGGCTTCTTCATTCTGCAACGAACATAAAAGGAAAATCAAAGAAGGCAAAAACGGTCTACAAAGTCTACCACAAGGTCTACCACAAGGTCTACTACGAAGGTCTACAAATCTAAACGAATAAACGAAATCTACGAATCACGAAGAAGAAAGACATATATGAGTTGTAGAGGTTATGTTATAGATTGTTGTACCTCTCGACGACGACGACAGTTCTAAGCGCTTATCGCAAAGCACCAGGAACGATATCTTGGACGAGATCTAACTACAAAAACGACACATGAATTCGGTGAGGTTATTTGTGGTTATACAAAGCGAAAATGGTAAGAAAGAGTGAGTGAGTGACGGAGTTACTACCGGGAAATGGGATCGATGTGGAGCGCTCCGATTCTGTTAGACAACGGCGACGAGTTCACCAGACGGCGGACCAAATATGAACAATAAAACGGTTAGATGACTGAGCGGAGATAGATTAACGACACTAGGTATAGGGCGAGGTATAGGGCGGAGATATTACCGGCGTAATCAAACAGAGGCGGAGCAAACGGCGTCGGACACGGAATAGCGGCGGAGCAAACGGCGTCGGACACGGAAATCGCCTGAAATCTCTGGAGAGCGCCGACTCGCAATGTTCTAACAAAACCTAGAAATTAACTGCTCAGGGTTAAAATCGCTTTATATACGTCGGTTCGATTAACTGGTTTCGTTATATCGGTTTGAACCAACAAATTAGCCGGTTATTTCAATTAATATCGGTTCAGCCGTTCAATTTACGGTTCTACGCAAACAATTGAGTCGGTTATTTCCGGCTTAGGTATACCGTTACGGTCTACCACGAAATTACCGAAACGTCGTTTCAATCTCAGCCGTCGCTTTGAAACTTCGGGATTCCCGCTAGGTTAAAACGGTTGGTAGACCTCCACTTCGGTCTACTGCGATCCGTCTACTTGTTAGGTCTACTTTACCCTAAACCCTAAATCGAATAATTTAGATACAATTTTGCAACGATTTGCTTGCCATATTGTCAATTTACAGTGTATATCACAAATAAACAAACATTGAATCGTAAAACCAACCAAAAACAATTCTTCATCTAAAATTTTTCAAAACCCTACAACTTCCCCATTAACCCTAAACAATCTACTCAAACTCTTATCCTTATGAACTATTTACATATGATATTTATAGATTCATGATTTTTTGAAATTTTATTTTTAATAGATGTTAAATGTCTATTATTTCGTTATTTGTGAAACAAATATTTCAAATTATTTTTTAAATTTTCTTAATTTAAATTTAAGATTTGATTATTTAGTAGACTTACTTGGTAGACCTCTCATGGTTTTATAGGCTTTTAACCTAATTTTTTTTTTTATAGTTCAATTGGTTCAAATCTATGAAATTATATTTTATATAGATGCAAGTTGTCTGTATTGTATTTATGTATAAATAATTTTCATCAAAATATTTTTTTTTCAATTTTTATAATTAAAATTAAATTTAATGACATAGTAGACTTACTCGGTAGACCTCACACATTTTTATAGATATTAACCTATATGTCTTTGCTTATCTATAAATGATTCATTTGTATGCATTCATATTTTTTGTATATGATAATGTCTATATTAGAATTATTCATACTTGTTTTGTATAAAAATATTTTTTATTTAATTGTTAATTAAAATTTAAGATGTTATTACGAGGTAGACCTCTAACATTGTCTACCAGGTAGATCTACTTAGGGTAGATCTACCTGTCCGGAGGTTATAATCGTAATCGAGGCATGCGTTTTTTTGTTTGGTCATGAGGGCTTGTGGGGTAATTTTACTACCCAAAGTTAGTTTTGCATTTGATTCAAATTGTGGTCTAGTTGACTAGAAAAAATCAAATTGTGGTCTAGAATTGGTAATTTCCCCATAAAATTTTTATTTTTTTCTTTTCTTTAAATTCGAATTTAACAAAACAAATGATAACTTTTTATTTTCTCTTAGGATTTGATTAAAACTAAATTCTAGAATCAACCAATAATTAAAATAAATTCGAAAAAAAATTGTTATGGGGTTCTAGATTTTATAAAACGAAATAAAACAGCTTTTTTTATGAAATAAAATAGAACAAGACTAGAAAATATAAATTGATAGAGGGTTGGATGAACACAACCTGGGGATAGGAGTTTTTAGCTCTGATACCAGATGATGCAGGCTGCTAGATCAAACTGTGATCAGCAGATTCCTAAGCCAACTGCTTGCGGAAGTGGATCGATGGTAGAGATTATGGTGATGATAGATGATTGACTCTCTCAATCGATGGGGTTGATTGACTCTCTCAATATGTGAACGAAATAGATTGCTTGAATCACACAAACAAGCTGAATCGCAGCCTCTAAAGAACTAAGTGAATCGCACAATTAAGTCTAAAGAAAGAACAATTCTTCAAGAAAACACACTTGAAAGAAAAGATGAAAATACTTTGATTAAATCTGGATTGAAAGGTGATTTACAAATGAGACAAGTAAAGAGCTTATATAGATTCTCAGTACAACGGCCAAAAGCTACAAAGAAAGAAACAAATCGCAATATTGAATGAGAAAGTAGCGTTGGTGGCTTGATGACAATATCGGCCAAACAAGGCAAGTTGTGATGATGCTTGAGCCTGAAAAGCTTGGGCGTGAAGCTGTGATGTCTTGGGACGTCTAGATGCATTGAAAAAGTCTTCAAAACGCAGCAGCTTAGACAATATAGCCGTTGGAGAGTTATTCCTCCAAGTGTGAATGCATCCGGAAATGGAAAGTTCACAAACATGAGAATCCGCCTGATTCCGTGGGTGCTGGTGCATGGGAAGATTTTAGATGACTCTCCTGGATGGTTAGATGTGTCTTATGAATCCATAGATGCCTCTCCTGGTCGCCAAAGACTGATTTGCAACTTATTGAACCCGTGAGCTTCCATATAAGGCAAGTTGAGCATCTTCTGGTTTAGAAGTTGAATAAATCTTAAACCAAAACCGGTATTGGGATGAATCCAATTGATAGAGATCCCTGCTTGAGTCAAGAATCCATAAAAAGTCGGAAACATCTCCGGGTTGGGTTACTAGTAAAACCCATAGACAGTTAGACCGGTTAAAAACCCGGGTTCGATCAACAAAAAATCAAAAACCGATGACCCATTGAACCGTATTGAACCCGGTTTTCTAATTAAACAATAAATTTTCTATTTGATTTGATAATTTTAACTTTTTCAGAATGTTTTGTTAAAGAATATTTTCAAATATTATGAATTTTAAATAATTTATTTGATATTTAAAATTTATATATATTTCAAATTGGATTTGTAGCTTTGATCCTCCTGGTTGGACCGGAATGATTCGATGAGTGAACGCAGGTCTCCATAGCGTCCATTGAAGACCTTCCAGAATGTATCTTCAATATCTTCCCCAATTGGGATTCTTTTGGGTTGGTTCTTCTTCGAGATGAACTCCATATGAGTTCAAATGTTCTCCAGGTGTTGGTTGAGCTTGGATACTTGATCTTGGCCTCCATATGAGTTCAGAATGTTCTCCAGGTGTTGGTCTCCTTAGCTCTCCTCAGCTTTATGCTCTCCTCTTCATGGCTCATGGATCTGTGCTCCTTGGTTGATGATGACTTGCTGTCCTCATCACAATCACTCTGCCTACCGGTCAATTACACAATTTATTAACAATTAAATAATAATTATAATTTTCGTAATTATTAAAATACTATTTTTCATTATTAAATAATTCTCATAATTAAATAATAATTTTCCATATGATTAAAATAATTATTTGAAATATTTTAATTAATTAAAATAAACATTAGTTAATTAAATACCGAATTATACCAACATAATTCGATTAAACCACTTTCAATTTAATTAAACCAGACAATTTCAATCAAATCATTTAAATCAATTTAAACCGGAAATAACCGGTCTGTGTCGATCGACACACGCTTTGTGTCGCTCGACACCGTTTCCTGGAACGCACAGATCGAGCTATGAATAGAACCTGAAACAGCGGAAACAAGCAATTTACTGTAAACCGCGAGCAAACATCAAAACCACCACAAATCATCACAAAACAATCACACAACACGGTTCTAGCAATCACGGACACACAAGCATGCACTCACCTCGATTTTGGATTAAAAAGGGGAGAAAACAAAGTGAAGATGAACAGTCACAACACAACAACGAAGAACAACGACGCAGCACCACACAGCAGCCACCACACGAAGCCTAAGCCTCCAATCCAAGAAGAACAGCCTCGAATCAATCACCAAACACCATAATGCCTCAAGAAATCTCTTCTCCTCTTGCTCTTCGCTCGCTAAACGACAAGTTTTATTCACGATTCCAGGGTTTCCACCCTTAACCGGACCAAACCGTCACTTGAATTGAACCGGAATTTGCAATTGTATGGTGTCGGTCGACACCACCTCCAAAACGACGTAGATTTAGTTTCTGGATGTTACAACTCTCCCCCACTAAACAGGATTTGTCCTAGAATCCCAAAACACAACTCACAAAGACCACAAAACCCGATCTAATAAGGCCACAACACTAGAGATCCTCACATGATCCCCGAGACACACATCAAATCTTATGTTATAAGCACGTTCCAAGACATTTACACTCCTAACTCATCATCCAAACCACACAAAACCACTTGTACTGAGGCCCACTTGCACCCAGACAAGTCCACACCGGTTTGTATTGAGGCCCACTTGCACCCAGATAAGCTACTCTAACTGAGGCCTACTTGCACCTAGAGAGTCTCCCAGAGAACCGCTGTCTCCAAAACCATGATGAGTTATTCTAGACCGCAACCATTAGAGTAAAAATTCTGGAAAACGTCTATAACAATAAGATTATACCGTCTCACAATCAAAAATTGGTCAAACACATGTAACATCTGAACCAATTTTACCAACACAAGACAAAATGATGCTCTGCCTTCACCAAGGCACAAGTGTTGCACTTCGCAACCCAGTCTGCTACATCCCTCTTCATCCCGACCCAATGATAGTACCTCTTGAGGTCATGGTACATCTTGGTCGCTCCCGGATGAATGGAAAACTTGCTCGCGTGAGCCTCTCCCAAAATCTGATGTCTCAACTCCACATCCTTAGGCACACAAACTCGCCCACGAACCAAGATAGTCCCATTCGCAGAGACCTCATACTCAGAACCAGTCACTCTCGTCGCATCCAGCAAACTCTGATCACTCTGCTGAGCAACTCTGATCCTGCTAAGTAGATCCGCCTGATCCACTGCCTCTAAACCCAAAGGCTCCTGCGAAATGGCACACAAACGCAAGGTACTGATCTCGCCAACTAGAGACTCCACATCTCGCTCAACTGCGGAATCATACCTCCGTCTACTCAACGCGTCCGCCACTAGGTTAGCCTTGCCCGGATGGTAGTTAATGCTCACCTGATAGTCCGCCAAGAACTCAACCCAGCGCGTCTGTCTCGCGTTCATCATCGGCTGAGTGAAGATATGCTGCAAACTCTTGTGATCCGTGAAGACCTGTACTGTCTCACCTAGCAAGTAAGACCTCCAAATCTTCAACGCGAAGATCACTGCTCCCAACTCTAAGTCATGTGTAGGACGGTTACGCTCACTGCCCTGCCACTGTCTCGAAGCATATGCTATCACTCTGCCCTCCTGCATCAGCACACAACCAAGACCAATGCCTGAAGCATCTGTATACACCATGTAAGGCTTCCCTGGCTCGGGTAACGCCAACACTGGTGTAGTAGTCAACATCTCCTTGAGCTGACTAAAGCTCTCCTCACACTCAGCTGACCAAACAAACTTCGTCATCGGCTGCGCCATGGTAGCAAACCCCTTGACGAACCTCCTGTAGTATCCTGCCAAACCCAGAAAACTCCTGATCTCGGTGGCACTACTAGGTCTAGGCCAATCTCTGATAGCCTCAATCTTAGCCGGATCCACAGAAACTCCCTCTGCAGAAACAATGTGGCCAAGAAATCCCATCTCTCGCTGCCAGAAACTGCACTTGCTCAACTTAGCAAAAAGCTTCTGCTCCCGAAGCTTCTCCAGAACCAACCTCAAGTGAGTCGCATGCTCCTCCTGACTCCTCGAGTATACCAGAATATCATCAATGAAAATGATGACAAACACGTCCAAATACTCCCTGAACACGTCGTTCATCAATCTCATGAAGGCTGCCGGCGCGTTAGTCAAACCGAAAGGCATAACCACAAACTCAAAATGCCCATAACGCGTCCTGAAAGCAGTCTTCCTGACATCTGCCTCATCTATCGGGATCTGATGATACCCCGATGCCAAGTCAATCTTGGAGAACCAAGTAGCACCCCTCAACTGATCCAACAACTCATCAATCCTCGGGAGTGGGTACCTGTTCTTCACAGTGACTCGGTTAAGACCTCTGTAATCGATACAAAGTCTGAAACTCCATCCTTCTTCTTCACAAACAACACCGGTGCTCCCCACGGTGAAACACTCGGTCGAATGAACCCCTTAGACAAAAGGTCCTCTATCTGCTTCTTCAGCTCTGCCAACTCAGCTGGCGCCATCCTGTAAGGCGTCTTCGATATCGGTGCTGTCCCCGGCTCTAACTCAATCGTGAAAGGATCAGACCGAGATGGTGGTAATCCCTTCAGTGACTGAAAGACATCCTCAAAATCCTGGACAACCTCAATATCTCCCATAACAACTCCAGCTCCTGACTCAGACATAGAAATCGTCGCCAGATACGCCTCACAGCCCCGCTCTAACAACTGCTCGGCCTGAATAGCAGATATCACAATACTCCCGGAAGTCGGTCTCACTCCCTGATAAACCAACCTCCCTGCATCTCGCTCGAAGACCACTCTACCTCTGTAGCAATCCAGATGAACTCTGTAGTGTGACAACCAGTCCATCCCGAGAATAACGTCATACAGCTCCACCGGACTGATGACTAAGTCTGCTGGCATTGACTGCCCCGCAATCTCGATCTCGACTCCTCTAGCACGGCCCAAAGTAGACAAGAATCCACCTCCCGCCACCTTGACCATGCCCGCGCTCTCGCCCGCGCTACTCCGGATGCCACTCTTCTCGGCACGCTCCGGTGTAATGAAGCAATTCATGCTCCAAAGTCAAATAACACATGTGACTCGAAACCGCCCAATAATAACTTGGTAAGAAAATACAAATATCCCAAATATTAATCATGAACGACATGTAACTATTGATAAATAAAGGGTATTATGGTTTAAAAGAAAATAGAAATATAAGATTATTGGAATATGTACCTGAGGAGAAGAAGACGAAGCAAAAATCTTCTGGCTGATAAACTAATCAAACCCAGAGAAATTGATGGCTTCAGTCTCGTCATGAGAGATGAATGGTTTCTCATAATTATGTAGATGCGTTTGTATCTGATTACAATTCATTCAAAATTTCGTTCAATAGCAAGATAACAAATATTCCATAACAAACATAAAACATACAATTCAATCGAATTATGGAACTCGAAAGCTAGTAGAAGATAACTATTTGGTGTTTAATATCTATTACAAAACTTACATACCCGTTAATCTTGCATACTCGCAGTGCTCTTTTCAAATCAGTTGTCGTTTAACTTGGTTGCTCATTGTTCCTGTTGCTGTTTAGCTCCGTCGCTGCCGCTATCTCTGCGATTATGAAAAGAACACAGCCTACATCTCTGCCTGGATTCAAAGCAATGAATATATAGTTAGTTTGGTATGAAATAAACAAAAGTACAAAGAATAAAAAGCAATCAAACCTAAGAACAATAACAAAAAGATAAGCATGTAACCAATATGAGATGCACAAAGTATATATAAGAGAAAGGATTTAGGTTTAGGCGTTTCTTTTTATCACCGAATCATTCATTTTTATTATTTGACACACATTTAAATATTTTATTTTAACCCGATAAATATATATATATAAAATTATACTTTTCTAAATATATCCTTCCCAACCACACGTTACTATTTCTTAACCAAGAAAAAAGGAAGTTTTGCTTTTCTAGTTACATAAATTCGTTTTAATTCGCATATTAACACAAAGACGCAATTAGACATGTGATTAGTCATATTCATTAAGGGCAGAATAATATTTTGTGAGGAGCGATGTGGTGCGTTTTTTCTTCGCAATTAATAGTATAGATGGATTAGATTGGGTTGGGTGCACTGTTTTGACATCCCTATTGGTAAATAAGTAGGTAAACCAGAAAATTCCACTCACTAAATTATATAACAACCATCTCTAAGCGTATTGAGACTGACCAGCGTTTCCGAGCTGAGCCGTTTTCGCAGATTCCTCTGCTTTCCCTCTCTTTATGATTACATACCAAGTAAATGCTTCAAGCACGGCCGCGACTATACCCAATGCCACAATTATAGCGGTGTAAGCGATTCTGCACTGCACGTCAGGGCTCAATATGTCTAGCCCTTTGAAAATGTTTACCACCGCCAAAATAATCACTGTGTAGCCTATGGTGTGGTGGTAGATATTCCAGTACACTCTGTACTTATGCTTTGGTTTGGGTCTTAGAAACAACGCAAAGACCTAATATGTGACACAAGAAATTAAGTTATGAAACATATTTGATAAGAAATCAAACACTCACTGTTAATATTAAACCCTATCTGAACTGTTGCAAGACAGAATAGAGCGATCCCGATAGCACGGTGAGCGGTAAACTGAATTCCCGGTGATTCGCCGCCCAGTTTGAGTTCGGTGGCCCAACCGGCGACATCGATAACATAGGCACAAGACTGGCAGAAAACGTGAAGGTAGAACCAAGAAGGGCATGCTGATTTAGAGTCTCTCAAGTATCAAGTAATGATTGCACCTATTGGGATCATTATTCCCCAACTAACTCCATTCAAGATTCCATGTATCTACAATCATTATTAGAAATTAAACCTATGTTGCAAACATTGAAGAAAGAAAAATGAAACTGAAACCATCAACTCACGTTGCGCTTTCTATGTTTGGAATTTCTTGCTCCTCCTCCCGCGGGGATACAGATGCACCGGAGACGAGATTCAGAGTGGAAATGGAGCGGATATTGTTGCAAGAAGTTGGATGTGACAGAGGATTGTTCTCTGAAAGGGATCGATATTGCCACACAGTATTAATGGTTGCACCATTCGCAAGTGGAAGATTTAGAGTTGCGAAGATGACCATATCGTTGTTTTGGTAAGTGGCAGACAGCTCAGAGACCTTGAGACTCAGGCCACCTTCTTGGAGACTCATATGATAGCTGCTGATCGGTGACGTGTAAGCCCTAATGGTGTTGTCTTACTGTGGATAAGCCACAATGGCTTGAGATCCGATCATGCTGTTGGATGTGGGATTTACGGTCCATGCAACCCATTTTCTAGGAGTTAGCTTTGTGTGATGATAAGCAATTTGAAGATTGTCGGAAGAAGAATCGTAAGTGTAGTGGAGGAAGGAATCAAGAACAGGGAGGTCGTTACAGAATTCAAAGAGACGGTTGCTGGAGAATTTGTAGTTGAAGCATGTTTGAGCCAAGGTGGGGGATTCAGTGATGATGAAGATGAAAACTGAGAGACAGAGGAGAAGATTTGAGGATTTAGCCATTGATATTAGGAAAAAAATCAGAACGTTGAGTTAGTAGTGGAGAAATAAGAATGAAATAAAGTATGATGAGGAAAAAATGAGAGAGAATTAGTATGATTAGAAAGTGGGACTAGTAGAACTATAGAAGTATGGTTAGGTTTGTTAGTTAATATGTCTCATAAAGAATCAGTGAATCACGAATTCTCTTCATCATACTTGTCCTTTTTCTTTCCTTTTAATTTACAAAAATTAATCAATATTTGTAGCTTTTTCCTTGTTCATCTATCAATTGCAATGTTTACCTTATAGTAATAGTAACATATCCAAAACATTATAATGAAGTATTTCATTCGCCCAAAAAGGTTTGACGTGTAATGTCTTTCTCCCTTCATAACCCTCATAAGGAAGTAATGAGGGTCACAAAACACATTATGATAAGGTCATTAAACCAGCAGCTGAATCAGAGCTCAATCAAACCGGATGCAAGACTTCAACCAGACCTGAAAGGACATGTGTTCACTGTTCGATGCGTATCTTCTCAAAAACAACGATTCAACAAACGAAATTACTTGGAGATTGTACTCAGCTCGATTCCAAAACACCTCAAATAATAATCATCGTAATCAGAGTTCAAATGAAGGAGTTATTCAATTTACAAGCAGGTGATTTCCAGTTTACTGGATTCAGACCTATATGCATTCAGTGTAGGATTCCAACCAGGCCAGAACGAGTTAAGCTACAAACCAAGTCATTATACCAACTAGATCCATTATAGAATCCCATGAAGTTGGATTCAGCCCAAAATCTATCAAGGAATATCATATTTCGAGTCCCAAAAAAGACCACATTTAATGATGTTTATTTCTCTCTCTTACATGCAGATTTGAGTCAAACTTCAATTCTCTAAGTGTTCTGCATGTTAAGCTCTTAATTATGACGAAAATGACTTGTATTTCTCTATATATAGAGACCCAAAATCATGAACTAAAACAAGTTTAAAGTTTCAGTAAAAACTAGAGAAGTTTCTCTCTTTCAAGATGTGATGTTTTGTTATTTTTGGAACTCCATGTTCATAGTGTGTCATATCTATGTGGGTGTTGGCGGCTGCGCGTTCCGTGGTGAACGGAGCCTTCAAAGGTGACCTTGCGATTATGGGTGTCAGTCCTTGTGTCGAAAGTCTTCCTAACAAGGCCAAGGGTTAGTGGAAGAGGTCTGTTGGTAATTACGGCGGTACAAGAAGGGCGCCAGGTTTCGCTGAAGGTGGAAGGCCACAAAATTATGTGGTCCTTGGCTTGAGGGGAGGATTGTTGAGATATCAATCAAGTCTCACATCGGAAGTTTAAACAAGAAGTGTCTACTATATAAGCAGTGTCCAACTCCAACTAGTATGAGGCCTTTTGGGAGGAGCCCAAAGAGAAATCCGTGCAGGGTTTGCCACTTGGGCCCAAAGCGGACAATATCATACTAGTGGGGGAGTTGGACTGTGCTTATGAAGCCCAACACTTCTCAACCACAACGATTCAACAAACGAAATTACTTGGATTGTACTCAGCTCGATTCCAGAACACCTCAAAGAATAATCATCGTAATCAGAGTTCAAACAAAGGAGTTATTAATTTACAAAGCAGGTGATTTCTGGTTTACTCAATTCAGTGAAGGATTTCAACCATGCCAGAACGAGTTAAGCTACAAACCAAGTCATTCTACAAACTAGATCCATCAGAGAATCCCATGAAGTTGGATTCAGCCCAAACGCTATCAGAGAAGATCATATTTCGAGTCCCAACAAAGATCATATTTAATGATGTCTATTTCTCTCTCTTACATGTATATTTGAGTCAAACTTCATTTCTCTAGATGCTCTGCATGTTAAGCTCTTACTATGACGAAAATGACTTGTATTTCTCTATATATAGAGACTCAAAATCATGAATTAAAACAAGTTTAAAGTTTCAGTAAAAATCAGAGAAGTTTCTCTCTTTCAAGATGTGATGTCTTGTGATTTTTGGAACTCCATGTTCATAGTGTGTCATATCTATGTTCATGGCTGTTTAAGACTTATCAGAGATCCTTTCACAGATCTTTGTGGTGTCTCTCAATTCATCTCTATCCATTCCTTGTTGGTGTGTCATGTCCAGCAAGCTGTCGATCTCCTTTGGTGTGTAATATTCAGAGAATCGATTCGCCGGTAAATCAGAAGTCTTCCGCAGCTTCTGTGCGACCTTTCAATCCACATATCCTTGTTCTTCGTGGCTTCATAGCCTGTTGAATGAAGGCTTATCCATTTACCAACTCTAGAGTGTCGACCTCTTGGGAAGATCTCATCATTTGGTATCAGAGCACACTCTTGAGTTTGATTTTCTTTCTATTTCATCTTTCTCACCTCTTCATCTTCTTTTAGTTTATTTTCAATAAAGAGCAAGATTTGAGGACAAATCTTTTTTTAAGAGAGGGAGTATGATATGATTATTGAGGGTAGCAAAAATGTTATGATAAGGTCATTAAACCAGCAGCTGAATCAGAGCTCAATCAAACCGGATGCAAGACTTCAACGAGACCCGAAGGACATGTGTATCTTCTCAACCACAACGATTCAACAAACGAAATTACTTGGAGATTGTACTCAGCTCGATTCCAGAACACCTCAAAGAATATTCATCGTAATCAGAGTTCAAACGAAGGAGTTATTCAATTTACAAAGCTAGTGATTTCCGGTTTACTCAATTCAGACCTATGGGCATTTAATGAATGATTCCGACCAGGCCAGAACGAGTTAAGCTACAAACCAAGTCATTCTACAAACTAGATCCATCAGAAAAGCCCATGAAGTTGGATTCAGCCCAAAAGCTATCAAGGAAGATCATATTTCGAGTCTCAACAAAGACCACATTTAAATGATGTCTATTTCTCTCTCTTACATACAGATTTGAGTCAAACGTCATTTCTCTAGGTGCTCTGTACGTTAAGCTCTCAATTATGACGAAAATGACTTGTATTTCTCTATATATAGAGACCCAAAATCATGAATGAAAACAAGTTTAAAGTTTCAGTTAAAATCAGAGAAGTTTCTCTCTTTCAAGATGTTATGTCTTGTTATTTTTGGAACTCCATGTTCATAGTGTGTCATATTTATCTTCATGGCTGTTTAAGACTTATCAGAGATCCTTTTACAGATCTTTGTGGCTTCTCTCAATCCATCTCTATCCATTTCTTGTTTGTGTGTCATATCCAGCAAGCTGTTGATCA